CCCAGAACCTCATGGAGAAAATGCTGGAGTACATGTCCTCCCTCTCCCCAGAGCATTAGTGATAGGAGGTGTGTGGGGAGGGACTCTGCACTAACCAGCTGCATTTACCCTCAGCTGGGAGGAATTACAGTAGATACTGAGGTACTTCACGATTTTTTCCCCCTTGTTTTGCAAGACTCTACATTTCCTTCACTTGGCTTTGCAGTTAAGAAAGTGGAAACTGAGGATTGCTGTCGTTGCCAGCTGGAATATTTCAAAATTTTGATGAAAGCTCATTTAATGCATTTTCCTGAGTTCAGGTTGGTTGTTTAGAAAGGCATTTCTCCTTAAAGAATCTCTACTGCTGTTCAGCACTGTCACTGCTAAATGGGACCAGACTGTTCACTGGTCTGTGAACACTGAGCAGGGCAGCCCTCTTTGCAGCTGTGAATATACCTCCATACTCCACAGTAGGCAGTGGGATAAAAATGTCTAAGTTAACATGGAATGGGCACATTCATTTGCATGGTGTAATGAAACACTGCTAAGGTCTTTAATGTGTGCCTGTTTTACACTATGCCTGCACCAAAAGCCTGTTTGAAAAGGAGATGAGGACAGAAGCTTCAAGGTATATATACAGATATTTCTATATGAACATGAACCTATGCCTGAGTTAAATATCACACAGATACACTTAAAGCTCGCTGAACACTTCAGGAAGAAAATAAATGATGATGATGTTCTTGAGGTTACAGGATTAAATTGTGGACTCACATGCATTGAGATAAACATTCCCAATGGTGTTTTATAGTGAGCTTTGTGAAGGTGTGTACCAGAATTGAGAGTAGAAAAATACTGGATTGAATATTTAGGATTTTGGAGATATTTGGTATACTCTTAGTTCTGCCACACTAAGAAACAAGTTCATATCAACTGTTATGAAAAAGCAGTATGTTTTGTAGATTTTAATATCCCCTAAATGTGTACTTGAAGCTAAAAGAGATTCTTTTTCTAGGGGAAGACAAGTTAACAGTACCTGAAAATTTCTGTGTTGCTGACAGTAGACTAAAAACGTAAGGTGAAGGAAAAAGTCTTTGGGCAGTTTTTTGGTCTTAATTCTTTTGCTAGAACCTGAACTATGTGAACTCTCAGGCTTAGAAAAGCAAAATAAACAAAAAAATCTCTCAAACAGTTTCAAATTCTGTCCTAAATCTTTGTCTTATAGATCACTAGGTTTTCAAACGAGTTTTTTATTGAAAACATCTTAAGCATAAAGGTTTTGTTTCCTTTTTCCTTCTGTAGGACCACAGCAGTGGACAGGGCTCATAACACTTTTCTGCACGGAACAGTTCACTTTGGGGTGTTGGTGCCTCAGATGGTTGATCTGGGTTGCACTGTGAGTTTCTGGTACACAAATGGCACCTTAAAGGCCTCTTGTAATGTGCAGAGTCATATTTGTTTTACCTTTTTCTTAACTTCCTAGCACCAGCTGCGAGACGAGCACTCACTCATTGGTGCACTAACTGCTGGGATCCCTCAGGTGTACCCTGGAAGTCTGTGTGGATCATAGTCTAGAGAAAAGCAGTATGGTTTGGGGTTTTCTATCCTACTCTTGCACAAGAGCGGATCTGGCACCTGGTCTGATGCAGCTTTCTTGACAAATGCTCCTTGTAACTTCCCAGCTTGAAGAGTTTGTTTTGGTAGAAGCTCAGCTAAGAACTGTAATGAGAGTGCTGTGATATTCAATGCAGACTGGGAGAGCAGCAGGGATATATTAGTGATTAAAATCACGTACCTTAATTTTAAGCCGAGAAAGAAAGTTCTTGAACTTTATTGGAAATCTTTTCCTCCTTATTACCCAAACCATTTGGGTTAGCCTATTACCTTAAAAAACCCTCAATTTAGATTGCTGCTAGATCCCTTTCAAGACTTTTAAGGCTGCAGCAGGGAGGTGGAGAGCTAATGTGTTATCTGTTCTAATGGATATGAAAATTTATGAAATTATGGAAGAAATAAAGATGGAGGGCTCCCTAATTTGTGGGGAAGGATCTACTTTTGCTAATTATACAATCTCTTCCAGAACATGAATGTTTTACTTTAAGGAATTTGCGTGAGAAATAAAGCTAAAAATTCTGTGGTAATAGTGGTAGGTTTCTACCCATAGTCTGTGGGCTTTCCTATATTTTTCCCTTAATAAATATGATATTTAATCAGATTAATGCTGATTGGTTTATATCATAGTCACTTGATAGTTTATTAAATTCTGAATATTTTAAACACTTTAGGGAATTTTAGAAATTTATCCAATCTTCTAGGATTTTTCAAGGAGTGACATCTATCTAAATGACAAATAGTGATAAATAAGAGAACTAGACCCACTAGACTTCAAGAGCCCTCTTTATTAGTTGTTACTTACCTATCAGTGAACTGCTGCAGAAGCAGAGGTCATGATTGTGTTAATCTGCTATCAAATTATGTCATTTATTTTTGTCATTGTTTTCTGTGTAAAAAGCCATTGTAATAAAAACAAATACTCTATTTGGGCAGAATTTTTACAGCTTTGTTTAATCTCTTTATCATGGTCTGTTGATGCATCTTACAAAGCAAGGCATAAAATAACAAAGAAAATGCTAAATTAGAATCTTTTAATAAGTAAATTTTTAAAACTATTGAATTAAACATGGCAACATTTCTTTGCTGGCTGAATTAATGTTCATTCGTGCAGAAAATTTTGAATGTAACATTATTTAAGCAATTTAAAAGTGAATTAAAGATTCATCCATTGTATCAGGTATCTGACTTCAGGCTAACATTTTAATCTCAATCATTGTTACAGTGTTTGCCATTCAAAAACTGAGAGATAAAGATGAAGGTTAATTCATGCAGAAAGAAGACTCAGTTCCTTGTTGATAAGTATGGTTGGCTATCAGGGAACTGCAAAATATGCTAATGGAGTTATTGTTTACTTTAACATATTACGCAAGTTATACTTGCTTGAATAATTGTTTTCAGGTTTTGCATTCCTGATTTATTTTTTGGTTTATATTGTTTTCATAGCTGCTACACTGACCACAGAAGGACTGCGTTTTTCTCCCGTTGTAAGCATACCCATAGATTTTATCAGCACCTTTTGTAAATATGTTTGCAACAGCAGATTGACAAACTTTTCTGTAAGGACTTGGTTTAAAGAACAATAGCTGTCACTCTTTAGCATTTTTCAATTTGCTAAGTTATTGCCCTTCTCTGACATCTTTTCATCACAAGACCTGATTCATCTCCAGGTTAAACAAGTGCAATTTCTTCATCTAAGCTACTCTTGAATTTGAACTAGGAACGGTGAGCTCATAATCAGATTCGTTAAATAATGTACAGACATACTGAATCATACTGAGAAATACTCTTAATGGGGTTCTGACTTGGCCCAAACCACTTTTCTTCTTGGAACAGACAAGTAAAGATTGTCCATAACATGACCAGAGCCTTCACCATACATCAAATATGCAAGGAGTCTGTGATTAGGATACATGTATAAAATAGAATGATAGAATATTCAGTGTATAACTTCACCAGTTGAAGTCCTTACAGCCACAGAGTGCGTTTCAACAGGTTGGAGGCAGAGAGCAAGAAACTGCTTCTGCCACAGGGAGTACTTTTCTTAGTGACTGAGATCAGGTGCTGTTTGTAACACAAAGGTTAATTTTAAATTGAAAACACTAATTCTGTAGCTGTGGACACTTATGAAGTCAGGCAGTGAAGTTTTTTTTTTTTTTGACTCAGCAATATTTCATAGGAGGTGTTCAGCTCTCCCAGGTTTACACTTATTTTAATACCTTCTCTCAATAAAAGAGTGCACTTTTTATGTAGCATATAAATATCATTGGTATAAATTATATACTTTAAAATTAAACCTCACCACATATTTGTGATGATCTTTTCCTTCCCCTTGCCTAATGCAGAAGTGAAATAGTCTTTCCCTTATGCAAACACTGGCAAGGCTGTTTCTCTCCTATTCTTCTGTAATTATCAACAGAAAATAACTGGCTGTCCTAAGAACTATGACTACAGTTCTGCTTACTCTAATTAGATGACCAGGTTAGGAAGCCAATTAGTCATTCCCTTCAGTAAAACTACAGGTACATTTCATTGTATAATTGCATACTAATACACAGGTAGGTATTTTCACCATGTTTTGTCAGATTCTGAACTGTCAAATCCTGCTTATAGAAGTCCAAGTGTAACAATCAGGACCTTTTTATTTCCTCCTCAGAGAGAAAGAGCAAGGAATATGTATTAATCCACAGTATGGGAAACTAGATAGATACTAGTGAAATCAGATGATGCTGATATTTCTTAACAGAAAAAACAATGTACAGAATTGAAAACTTCTGAAAGCGATCTAATAAAGTCAGGCTGTACTAAGATGTGCAGTAATCACAAAAAAACCCCGACCAACATTTGATTATTAAATGGTTATAAATATGCAAAAAACCTTTCTTCAATTTTTTAGTAATGAAAGATTTATTAGAAACTAGCTGAATTTCAGTGGGTGGGGAATTACATGGATCAGAAGCTACAGGGATGATTGATTGTTATCAGTAATTACATGGTCTAACTAAACACTTTCAGATTCCTAGTGTTACTGTTTCTTGTATCCAAGTGATTTTATTTTAATCTCTGTGAACATAAAAGGGAACAAATCTGAAAAATAACAAAAGACCAAAACCTCAAAATCTTCCTATAAAGGTCCAAGGTTTAATTTTTTTGCAATGTTTGGCTACAGTTTTAGAACACCTTTAATTACTGATTGCTCACAGTACATAGAACCGGCAAGAAAAAAGGTCATTGAAGTTTTCCTATTCTCTCTTGAGTGCTTCTCTATAATAGTCCTAACTTACAGCAGGGAATGTAAGCAGTGGTTCTTAATATTTACTGTTCTGATCTTATTCCAAATGAGTTCTGTATGCCTTTTGCATGACTGAAAGTAGACTTACAAATGAAGATGCCTTGTCTTCTATTTTCAGTGTTGGAGAGTCCACGCTACAGACAATCTCTTCCCGGGGGCTGGAGGGTGAGTATCACCTTTGGGGTAACATCTTTTCCTTCTCCCACATACCATATAAACCCTGGTAAGGTGTGCCAGTCATAGCACAGGCAGCCTCAATTTGTGTTCAGAACACAGGAAAGCTCCTGGTCCAAAGAGGCAGAAACCACCAGCAGCAGGACTGGGAACACACCTGTAAGTTACAGGCAGCTCTAGGGGATTTTTGTATTGGTATTCAATGATACAGCATAAATATTCTAGAGGTACCTAAACACGTGGCAGCAATAAAAGTGATGCATGTTTGGAATAGTTGCTTAAAACATAAATTATGTCTAATATAGAACCTAAGTGGAATTTTTTCTTTTGTCAACAGAGAAAATGTACTAAATTAATAACTTACATGGGAGTTAAGAGTCAGCACATAGACATACACTGTGAAGACACTATGCAAATAGCTGTCTTGCCATTGAACTCAAATGTAATTGCATAAATATGTTCAAATTGACACAGAAAGTACTAATTTGAAAAAAAACAAACAACCAACAACAACAAAAACAAAATCCCAAATTTGGAAATGAAGAAGATTTAAAACTAAACTGGTTTAAGATGAAACCATTATTAAGGAGGAAGAAAGGAAGAAAGGAAGGGAGGGGTAGAGGAAGGGAGGGAGGGAGAGAGGGAGGACTAGATTGACTGCATGACTGGAGAAGAAATGGTGTTAACTTGCCAACATTGCCTGATCAAATTCATCCCATAAATTACATTTTCTTAGATGAACTAGTGGGGAATGCTAATGGTTTCATATCTCACAGTGTCTTACAACAACTCATACATTAGATGCTCACCACATCTGCATTAAATTCTATTCTTTTTGAATCTCTCCACCTCTACCCTGCTGAACAATATTTACTGCTATTGTAGGCCTTTAGAAGTTAAGATGTATTTCAAAACAGAATGATTAGTTGGTCTTGGATTTTGGATGGGATTTTTTATTTGTTTGAAAAAATAGAAGAGTGTCTGTTATCAGACTTTCCAGGGTTATCTACAAGGGCTTACTTTCCTATCAATTTGAATCTTAGGCATCTACCATGAATTTAAACTGGTTCTTAAAGAAGATTAAATTCATTTTTATTGCAAATATGGCTCTTTTCCAGCACCTTTGGGAGAAGAAAGGCAGATGAAAAAGAGAACATGATCTGAGCACTGAAAAGACGAGAGGCACACAAAAAATGTGAACTGCTGAATTTACTGTCTAGCTATAATGAGGTATTGCTTAACAATTAAGTTAAATTATGCAGCTGTTTCCTAGTATACTGTGCTAATGCATCTGAGAAATTATAATTTTCTGATTGGAGAACGTTATGTGGAGGAAACTGTAGTGTTCCCCATTCCTGCAACAGTTCATTTCATGATTAAAAAAGGAAGCCAGTATTTTTGCAGCTGTCAGGAATAGGCAATAAAGGATGACAATCTAAGGGGGCCTGTTAGTCACTGACACAATAAAATAATCCCAAACAAAAGCTGCAGAAGGAAAAAAAGCTTTGAAGGGTAGCAATGACACACAGCCACAGCTTATGGGTTTCTGTGGTGAAGTGACTCTATAGCCCACGACTAGCAGGAACAGGTTTGAAGGTCTCAAAGACAAGTGCTGTCACGTGTGATACTTCAAAGACAAGTGCTCAAAAATTTCAGGGAGCTGTGAAATCAATACTTTAAAGCAAAAATTGCACGTACATCAGGGATAAGCATCGGGTTTAACAAAAAAAAAAAAGAAAGTAAAAACCCCAAACCCCGACTTTGCTAACCAGTAAGTCTTAAAAAAGCTTTCACTTGTAAAAAATAAATCTGCTTGAATGAGGATTAAGTAAAAATTGAGGGTTTGTAAAACTAAATAATATTGAAAATATAAAACAAAAGAAGTACACTGGCACTCCAAATTTTGCATGTGGAATATGCTCATGGGAAAAATGGCTACATAAAGCAGAGAAGAAATTAGGTATGTTAATTGGAGCAGGTGGCTTATTTTATATTATTTAATTTTTGACCAGCTTGAGTTTTTGAGACTATTTAAAATTCCAGCCTAGTAAATTCATAAATGAATCTGTATTACCCATTGTTTAAACTTATTTATGCAAAAAAAATCACAAACCCAAAATCCCTAAATGAAAACACATAATAGCTTTTGAGTAAAAATGAAAGCTTTTCAATTAGCATCCATACTTCATATCATCCTTTTATTCTGATCATTTGTTTTGCATGATTCTTTTGTTTTAGTCAGCATTTCCTTTTAAAAAAAGGTTGAATTGGGGGAAAATATCATTTTATTTCACATTTTATGAGTCTGAATAACACAAAATGAGGTTGTGCCATGCTTCATGACCATGAATATTTAAACATTTTCTATAAATACATTTACTTACTTTTGTTTTAATCTTGTGAAAAAGCACTGCCTGGAAATGATAATGAAGAAGCCTAAGAAAATACCATTTTGAATAATTCTTGCTTTTGCTTTTGCCAGTTGTTCCATAAAGGCAAAACAGATTTGGCCTTTTAATTTCCTTGAGTGATCTAATTCTTTAAGCTACTTCTGTACTTGTTTTTTATATTGGGTTAGAGTATTATTCTTCTGGAAAAGTCTATGATCAAGTGAGTTTGAAGATTTTTTTCAATCTTGTCCACTATTTATCTAAACTGAAGTTCCCCTAGGCAGAGAGAAAGACTCTGATGAAAGAATTATTTCTGGTTCCTAATTTCTCATGGAGTGATTACCGAGTTTTAACCCATAGGACAAAATAGCAATTTTTTTTTTCTGTTTGGAAAGGGTGAAAACTTGGGAAATCCAACAGAGAAGTAAAATTATTCTTCAAAAACAAACTTGAAGAGAGTTAAAAAGAATTGAAATCTTTAAAACAGAACCCAGGAGTCCACACTCATGTACCTGGTTAATTTGGCAGCTGGGTTGCATCAGTGGATAACATGCACTTCTGCTCACCCACCTCACCCTTGCTCTGGTGCTCCCTGATATCTGTTCCTGTCCCTTATGAAGTAACTGATGATTTTTAAGATGCTCAGCTGTTATGGACCATTTCTTCTATAAGTTTTTTACAGAGAGGGTGGTCAGGCATTGGAATGGGCTGCCCAGAGAAGTGGTGGATTCTCCATCCCTGGAGGTTTTCAAGATGAGACTGGATGTGGCACTTAGTGCCACTTAGTGTTGGATCAAGGGTTGGACTTGATGATCTCAGAGGTCCCTTCCAACCCAGTTGACTCTATGATTCTGTGATTCTGCCTGTTTTGTGTTTATGAGGGTGTGAAAAGCCATGGCTTTCTACCTTTCTGAGGCAAGACCTGAGTAAGGTACCTTTTATGCAATGGATAAAAAAAAAAAAACTTGTTCTGCTCTGAACCATTCACTGTACTTCCTTGGTGGAGGACCATAGGTCATTCTGAAGATTAAGCCTTCTCCAGAGGTTTTCTGTTCCAGCTACAGTTTGTCTTTTTCTCCCTGAAAGCTAAAGAACAGTATGGAAGGTAGTAGATTTTAGATTTAACCTTGAGCACCAAAACTGTGACACAATGTAAAGCATTCCTTTTGGATGTGTCTGTTTACTTTGTATGTTTTTTGGACTGTCATTCGTTTTGTGCACTTTTTCATGAGGATATAAGCTAGCTTTGTTCTTTTGTTCATGCCCACTTGTGCCTGCAGCACAGAGGGAAGAACCTTGGGCTTTGCAAGAGCATGCACTGGGCACACTGGGAAGAGCCAAGGACAAATATATTGAATACAGCCAGGTACTGTTGCTCTTGGGCCTAGTATGGGAGATCAAACCGAAAAAAGATCAGGATGGGAAAAAAAAATCAGCTATTACTATAGGAGCAAACCAGGAAAATGTTAAATTAGTGTGCAATTCTGAAGTACCTTTTCTTGTCAATTTTTTTTTCTCTCTTCTATTAAACGGGGAATTTGGACTTAACTTGGTGAGAATATCCTTAGTATGGGGATGCCAAATTAGAAAAGGAAATAAACCCCCACTCATGCTGCCACAGCTCTTATGCTTCCAGTTACAGCATGTTTTATGTTTGCTTCTGAGCAGCATTTAGACCCTTGCCTGTATGTTCAACTCTCCTGACTTTAGCTGCCTGTCTGCTATAAAGAACATCTTTTGTCTGTGAGGGTGTCACCTCTGTGAAGGCAGGTCCTTCAAAATGATGGATTTAAATAAAATGAATATTTACATGAGGTGCATTTGACTGTAGAAAGGGATCAGAAAAACACTGTTATCACTGCATTGCTATGTCCATCAATGCAGTGGTAACAGTACGTATATGACCATACATATGTGACATATGGTGTCTCTAGTATAAATGTACCTTTTTATTTAGATCTGGGAATAGATAAAAATGTCTATTGCGTGTTCATAACCACTTTCTAAAAGTAATGCAGTTTGTGTGTTGATATTACGAAAAGTATAAATAAAGGAAACTATTTATGTGCTAAGTTCAATTCTGAGTCTTATAAATATTGTAATATTTTACAAATTACTTGTGCTGTGCCCATATAATAGCCACGTACAATTTATGCCTCTTAAAATGGGAGGTTACCACAAAAGTTGTTGCAGACTCTTAACTAGTGACATAAATATTCCACTGTAATCCATACAGCATGAAATCTTTCATTGCCTCTCCCTTGAAGGTATATTATTCAATTTTCATAGTTATAGCACAGTGATAAATTAGAGCTTAATGTTGTTGTGCCACTAAGCTAACCAAGATTTTTATAAGCAACTGTCCAAATGGTAAACACACAGAAAGTAGCCACACTAGTGCACAGCACACTTTTTTTTGTTTGTTTGCTTCCCAGAAGCATGAAAACGTTTGACCCTTTCTTCTAGTAAATCACTGAGGGCAGGGGAGAATATATATTGACTCCTTTCTTTCCTGGATTACTGTGGCTGTTTCTCTTTTTTCAAGCAGACCAATAAAAGTTTTTATACTTTTTACAGTTTATCAGCCTACATCATCTGAGTTTCTCAAGCAGTACTTGTGGAAATTACCTGTGCCTTAGGCCATAGGGCTCTGTGCAGTTTTACAGTGAGCACAATGTTCTAAGGAAACTCACAATACATAACAGCTTTTTGACAGAGATTAGTGTATAAGTGATATTGTGCCATAATCTAGAAGACAAAGGACTTGAAATAGGTTTCATTTTAAGTGAAGTAGGCAAAATATCAACCTGAGAAACGGTGATGTTAGTAACAAGGATAAAATCAACATTAAAAAAAAAGAGAGTGTACCTGAAAGAGATATGTAGATATAACAGACTTTCAGTACTTACCTGTATGTATAGAGATAGACCAAATTTAGCTATTTCTTTGTGAAGGACTAATTAATTTTATTAGAGAGTAAGTAAATTCAGCCACGAATCCTGGAGAATCTAATGACTTCCAGAGATTCAGAATGAATTCAGCAATAAAAGCTAATTAGAAGGGAAATGGATGCCTAAAATATCCCTGGTGTGCATAAAGAAAGAGCATAAAGACCATTAATTGAAATTAAAATTTAACAGTAGCCTAATGCTGCATGACATAAAATTCCATCTGTTGTGCAGAGGCACTAAACAAAGATACATGGGGAACAGTGCGTGGTGTCTCAACTCTGTATTTTAATGTCAAACCACTCCACACAATGAGAAGTCTGATGTTCAGAAGAGTCAGGTTAGGGCGTGATGACTCCAGTAGCTACTGAATTAGAGAGGAAAAACTGAAAGTGATGCTGCACTAGTGAGACATTTTATTTTTAGTGAAGTAGGTGGGGTTTCTTTCTGCTTGTTTTATCCTTACGAGTGTAGAAGAGGCACTCATGCATTTTAGACATATAGGCTGTCCAATCCTTAGAGATACTCATGTGGTGCAGGCACAGAAGCAGCAACAAAAAGCAGCAGCAGAAAGATGTTCTTTCTTAAAGTATCTCATCTGAAATACCATGGAAGTTTCTGTAGAGCACGTGTAAGGAAATAAATGAGAGCTTTGAATAATTAATCCTAGAATGTCTGACTTCTTGTGCTGTTCACAAAATGTCTGGGAACATTTTTTTTTGTTGTTTGGTTTTTAAAGACTGATTAACAGTGATTGCTGTAACCAGTTTCAGTGCACACATCTCTGGCACAAATTTCCCTGAAACAATTTTCAAAATGTGGACTGATCTATTGATGAAAGGTAGTTACGTGGTGTTTGCATGTCCATATTAGATGATCACAGCTATAATAATTCCACTTTGATGACTAGAGACATGCAGCAACCAAAACCAATATTGTTTGGTAAATGACATATGTATTAGTTTATTTTGAGAGGCTTTATAATTATTGAGAAATTCCCAACATGACATTTTTCTTTTCAGCTTTATGTGTTACATTGGAACATCAGCTTTACTAAAGCGAATCTAACAAAGTATTGTATGATTCTTAACACAACATGACTGTGAACTGTGATTGTTATCTGAGGCTAACTGCATGCTGAATAGGCCATAATGTCAAATTAGATGCTACTTGAGATTCATATGGTACATTTTCTGAATGCCTACATGTGCATTAGTAATTCAGCACCTCCATTCTGGGACGTCTCTCAATGCAGAGTTAGCAGCTACCACAGAACACATACAGGGAAAGAAAATAACAGATTGTAAGGAGAGTCACCATCATGTTGTGCGGACTGAGACACAAAAGTCCTTTAGAAAAAAAGTTATTTAAATAGAGATCAAAACAAAGTTGTTTACAATAGAAAATTCTACTAGTTAGCAGGAAGGGGAAGAACTAGAACCAAGGATAAAAACAAATTCACATTCAGCAGTTTTAGGGATATTTAGTTGAAGTTAATTAACCCTTGGATCAAGCAGCAGCAAAATAAATGAAGATAACCCATTTTTTTTTAGTCTAAGACCAAGGTTCACTGTCTTTTTGGACAGTCCTTTTAATTATTAATAGTACACAAAATATAAATGTAAACATGTTGCTAACAAGGATACTTGTAACCTTGATTTGCAAATTTATCCAAAAGAAGAGCAAAGAGGTTTTTACAGATTAGAAAAACACTATTAGAGATCTAACTATTTCTTGAGGGAACCATTAGTAAATGCAACAGCAAAGGTAAACAGTGGTATTAAAATGTAAAGACACAACAGGTGTAACAAGCTCTTGCCAGATCGCCAGCCAGTCTCTTTGCCAGGCAGAAACCAGGTAATTCATCTGCAGTATGTTCTGTGAGTTACAGACTAGATCAACCAGCAGATGAGGCAGCCATGGCAGAAGGTGGGATAAAATTGTCTGTCTTGCATCTCCCTGCTCCGTGCCTTGCAGTCCATTCCGTGTCCTGGGCTCTTGCTGGCCCATCAGCTTGTTCATCTCCTCTCATTGCTCTCACCCTGTGTGAGCTGCAAAGTACTACAGTAACTTTGCAATTAATTTGTTAATAAGAAATGTGCATCTCTTAAGTCACTCTTAGCTCAGCGTCTCACCCACATCTTTCATTAAGCATACCTGTAAGAACAAGTCTCTCAGTGGGCAGCTGTTCTCCTATTTCCTAAAGTCCCTGTTCTTACAGTCTTTAGACTTGGCATTTGCTGAAACATTTATTTCATTTTTTCTGTTTTGATATCAATATTTGGTTCAAAGTACCTGTTATAGTGCTTGTACTATTTCCAAAACATTCATTTGGGATGAAGGAGATAAGTGACTGGTTATGTATGTGCAGCAGCAAAGTTAGGTATCCACATGTTTACTGACTTATCAAACTGTGTTTAGGTAGTTCAGTGCATCTATATGAAGCTAGTGAGACTGTGCTGAACACACTGTCTTTAATTCCTTTATCAGTAGTAGTCTTCATCTGTAATAAATTACAAGGTGTGTATACAAATAATGTTGTCCATTAGTGAGATATCTGAAAACTTCTACATGCAAATGTCCCTCTCTTTCAGCCTAGATGTAATGATTACATACACAGTATTTATAAACATATGGTAAGTCATTTTACAGAATTCATTTTGGTATTACAGGATACTTGGGAAAAATATTGTAAAAGCCATCTGTATGCAAGCAAGATAATGAGAGGTGTGACAGGCAGGCTGTTAACTGTGAAAATCCTAATATCTGCTGTATTGTTACTGCACTTGTCCTTTTTTATCATGCAGATAATGACAAAATGTGAACTTGTTACTCCTTCACAGAGCTTCAGCTTTTGAACACCAGACATTATCAACATAAAATGGACATGTAGGTAAAGCTAAAAAAGTTTCTTTTTCTATTTACTTTGTTTTTAAAAACATGTTGATTAAATACTTAAAGCTATTGCTTTAAAATTTGACAGCAAGATAGTTAACACCAGTCTGTCACATCTCTCCAAAAGATTAATTTGCATGATGGAAGTATTTTCTGTGTCATTATCCAGAAGCAGAACTGCAAAAGAATACCAATTTCCATCATTATTTTTTTCCAAATACCTTGTATAAAATCACAATGTGTTGAGAAATAGAAACCTTAGCTGTCACCCTGCAAAAAATCCTGAAGAATGAACATGAGTAGCACAGTATTTCATGCCCAAAAGTTGTAAACACGATCTACACATGCTTCTTGAGACGTTGTGAAATTGGGGTGTCTAGTAACACAGACACAACATTTTTATTTATCAAATAGTTTTGTCTTAAAATGTTTGTTGATTACTTTTGGATACTTGTTGATTACTTGTCCAATTTAAGTTTGTGACGTGAAATGATGGCAAAGCCCAGTTCTAACATCAT